AAAAAACCCCAACAACAAAAAAAAAAAAGATTTTCGCAATTTACACGGGTCATCCAACCGAGGTCAGAAAATACAGAAATTCATAAAGTGGAATTCGAATTTGATCTTCCTGGGCAGGTCGCCCAGTTAGAGCTTATGGATGGGAAGCACTGTAACATGATGTTCTTTTAATGTGTAGTAATAATTGAGTAATAATTATTAATATTGCTTATACAAAAAACAGGCCCCTAACCCTAAATTATTAAGCTTTGGTGTGCAACTCATCCCACATGTTATTTGTTTCTGCTATAAGTGATACCTAAAATTGTGCAGATAGTTGAGAAAAGGTTTGGCCTTTGTGTTTCTAAGTCTAAAATCTAGTTACTATGTGCTAAATAAGAGAACAAAATATACTTACACTATTTTTGTATTATTTGATTACAGAAACGATTAAGAATGATGCGTTCCTCTTCCACTTGAAATCCTTTTACATAGAATCAGTCACAAATGTACCATGTCCTGTTTTGCTTGGAGACAACACAGACATATTTTATAGTTCAGTGCTTGTCCAGTTCTCATTTCACATCACAGTTCAGCAGTTTAAGTGAGAGAGTCCATATGGTGTCCAGCTTTCCTGCTTGTGTTTGCTCACAGGAAATGACAGCACAAAAGGAGAGGCATTCTTCTTCAGTGTACTCTCACAACAACATGTTTTTACTGTGGGATAGACACACTCATAGAGCAGGCTGCATGAATGAATGTAAGTTCACCACACAGCCTAAGCCTGCAGGGTTACTGTTGAGGTCTTCCAGTACTGGTTAACCATTGATAACAAAGATAGCTGACCTCAGGTTCCTTCCCACTCATCTCAAGTGGGATTTGCCCTCATATATTTTTCTCAGTGTTTTTAAAGGACATTCTTGTCTAGTAAATGTTGTCTTAACAAGGTAATTTCTTTCAGGGTTTTGCCATTGTGAGATGTAGTACTTAAGTAGAGAGGAGGATGCTGTGTTATTCCTCTGTGTTTACGCTCTCTTAGACCCATACTGATTGACAGACGAATGCATTTAGTTAAACTACAGTTTAGAAGTCTTGACAAGATTTTTTTGTATGGTTTTTGAAAGGAGTCTCTTATTATAAAATTGTGATTGTAAGCTGAATCTTCAGCATAATTACTCCAGTCTTTAATTTCACATGATCCTTCAGAAATCATTCAGAAATCTTTTTTTTTTTTGTAATCATTATTATCAATGTTGAAAACAGTGGTGCTGCTTAATAGTTTTGTGATACAACCATGAAATATTTTTTCAGGATTCACAGACCAGCATTTAGGCCTATTTCTCAATTAAATGGATTTAAATGTTGCATAATCAAGTCTGTTACTGTAAGAAATTAAAATAGACTGGAGTATTTCTGCTAAATTATTTGTTTGTGGGATTGTTTTACGCTCTACAGGGTCATTTGCCTTTTGCTGTGGTGGGAAGCACTGAGGAAGTGAAGATTGGGAACAAGATGGTGCGAGCACGCCAGTACCCCTGGGGAACCGTCCAGGGTAAGTGCTGGTCACGTCGTCTAGAGGAAGTGACGCTGAGCTCTTCCCTCTGTTTGGCCCTGGCCTCTTTGTTCAGGACATCCAAACCCATTCCGTCCCTCCCTTTCTGCAGTACTGTGCCTGGACACTTCCATTCAACACACCATCCTCTTTCTCTCTTGCATTTTTTTCACAGCAGGGCAGAATGCTAATGTATTAGGGATGTCAGAATGAGAAACTGAGCTGTAATTTCCATGTGACAAATCATTGTGGAGCAACAGGAAAATTACGTTAGTACAGCACTGATTGGTTGATGGCACCACAATCACAATCCTTTAGCGCAACCTATCCCAAACTGTATTATATGTGAATATATTTTTTAAAATAATTTATTCCTGTGATCGCAAAGCTTTTCAGCAGCTATTATTCTTGTCACATGATCCTTCAGAAATCATTCTAATATGCCGACTTGCTGCTCAAGAAACATTTATTTTTACTGTAAATTAAAAAAAAAGTAAAGTACATATACTTATTGCAGTGTCCTTTTGTCTTGTATGAAAAAGAGGATCTGCAGTACAATGATGTTCATATGTCACGTTCAATAATCTGTACAAATCCAGCTCACTTCATTCACAATTTGTCTTGTCAGTCTTTGTTAACGTGGTATGCTAGCAGTGATTTGATGCGTAACATTATAGCAGCAGTGCTCTGACTGTCATCAGGCTGTCTGTGACATCACTCTGAATCTCTCTCTCTCTCTATCATGAGGCCACGGGACAGCTCACGTGCTCTTACTTTATTTAGCCTACTGCAAGGCTGACCAGACTGAGAAAAAAATTGCATATATATATATATATATGTATATGTATATGTGATGCGTGTGTTTTCATGCATCACTGCCGCTGTGTGTCAAGTGTTTACTTGTGCACATAGTTTACTTATTTAAAGGTCAAAGTTATGTGTTAAAAGTAAGGTAAGGTATTAAAACCATGCAGAAAGGGACGCATTTTCAATGCAAATGTATATCAGGTAGTGAGCTGGAAAAAAATCCTGTAAACTAAGATTGAGAGAAGGCCACAAGCCATAACTAGAGACTAGAATATCAAAGACAGTTGGGGATAAGCTCCTTCGACGGGACAGTAAGCAACCACATAGCAGTGCACTAAAAATGCTTGGAACACCTTAAAGGGTTAGTTCACCCAAAAATGAAAATTCTGTCATTAATTACTCACCCTCATCTCGCTGCAAACTTGTAAGACCTTCGTTCATCTTCAGAACAAAAATTAAGATATTTTTGATGAAATCCAAGAGCTTTCTGACCCTGCATAGACAACAACGCAACTACCACATTCAAGGCCCAGAAAGGTAGTAAGGACATCTTTACAATAGTCCATGTGACATCAGTGGTTCAACCTTAATATTATGAAGCTACATTAATACTTTTTGTGTGCAAAGAAAACAGAAATAACGACTTTATTCAACAATTTCTTCTCTTCTCTGTCAGTCTTCGACACGCGTTCACGACCATGCATGTGTTTACTATGCGCACAAAAAGTATTCTCGTAGCTTCATAAAATTAAGGTTGAACCACTGATGTCACATGAACTATTTGAACAAGCCTTGAACGTGGTAGTTGCGTTGCTGTCTATGGAAGGTCAGAAAGCTCTCGGATTTCATCAAAAATATCTTAATTTGTGTTTCGAAGATGAATGAAGATCTAACGGGTTAGGAACGACATGAGGGTGAGTAATTCATGACAGAATTTTAATTTTAGGGTGAACTGACCCTTTAACAACGCCCTGGCAACCACCCAGAAAACCCCAGCACTGTGGCGCCTAGTTTTGCACAGACAAGCTCCACTCACGATTTCTTCAGCAAATGTAAAAAATCTATTTGTTTATACTGTTACAATAACAGCTGCAGGGAATGTTGGTAGTGTTAATAATACTAGATCACAGCTGGTCAGTTATACAAACTGACTGTTAAAAGAGGTCATGTCCTTGTATCAGTGGTCTGAAATGGAAGAAGGCTATCAATTTTTCATAAAATCAAGATGTTAAAATTAATGTATTTTAAGTGTCTATTTTTAAAAGCGTCTAATAGACACTTTAAAAAAGTGTCTATTTTAAGTTCTGTAAATGGTCACCATTTCTAATGAGCATTTCTTTTTGATCACATTCTTTTTTTACAGTCTTGCAAGATTTTTTCGTTTTAAATTCAGATATTCAATAAAGTTTCTCAATTACACAATGTCATAAAAACAGCTTGTATACACCTATAAGTAGGGATGTAACTATTAACCACGAGCCGGTCGAAAATCGATTCAAATATGTGATGTTTCAAAACGGTTCAGATGCCAAACAAATCGCGATACAATTGGAGTAGGAGTTTTTATGAATGTATCTCTGAGGGGAACTGAATATCTTTAGAAAAGTTTACATGGTATTTTCTTTTCATCTTGCCTCTGAACAATGCACATTAAAGTAGTGTTCATAAGGGCAGCTCTGCTTTGTAAAGTCAGACCATTCTGTTTTTGCTTCAAATTTCGAAATCATACAGTCTAATTTAGATTTAAAAACTACTCATGCTGCATGTATGCTGCATCTTTGTTTGGATCATGATTAAAATCCAGTGGTTGCCTCTAATTTTAAATGGAAAGAGCACAGACAAAGCATTAGTTTGTTCATATAAAGAGATTTCTTTTGTGTTTCGAAGATGAATGAAGATCTAACGGGTTAGGAACGACATGAGGGTGAGTAATTCATGACAGAATTTTAATTTTAGGGTGAACTGACCCTTTAACAACGCCCTGGCAACCACCCAGAAAACCCCAGCACTGTGGCGCCTAGTTTTGCACAGACAAGCTCCACTCACGATTTCTTCAGCAAATGTAAAAAATCTATTTGTTTATACTGTTACAATAACAGCTGCAGGGAATGTTGGTAGTGTTAATAATACTAGATCACAGCTGGTCAGTTATACAAACTGACTGTTAAAAGAGGTCATGTCCTTGTATCAGTGGTCTGAAATGGAAGAAGGCTATCAATTTTTCATAAAATCAAGATGTTAAAATTAATGTATTTTAAGTGTCTATTTTTAAAAGCGTCTAATAGACACTTTAAAAAAGTGTCTATTTTAAGTTCTGTAAATGGTCACCATTTCTAATGAGCATTTCTTTTTGATCACATTCTTTTTTTACAGTCTTGCAAGATTTTTTCGTTTTAAATTCAGATATTCAATAAAGTTTCTCAATTACACAATGTCATAAAAACAGCTTGTATACACCTATAAGTAGGGATGTAACTATTAACCACGAGCCGGTCGAAAATCGATTCAAATATGTGATGTTTCAAAACGGTTCAGATGCCAAACAAATCGCGATACAATTGGAGTAGGAGTTTTTATGAATGTATCTCTGAGGGGAACTGAATATCTTTAGAAAAGTTTACATGGTATTTTCTTTTCATCTTGCCTCTGAACAATGCACATTAAAGTAGTGTTCATAAGGGCAGCTCTGCTTTGTAAAGTCAGACCATTCTGTTTTTGCTTCAAATTTCGAAATCATACAGTCTAATTTAGATTTAAAAACTACTCATGCTGCATGTATGCTGCATCTTTGTTTGGATCATGATTAAAATCCAGTGGTTGCCTCTAATTTTAAATGGAAAGACCACAGACAAAACCTTAGTTTGTTCATATTTAGAGATTTCTTTTATTTGTGTAGCTTACTTGTTTGATTTGGGGTTTGTTTTAAAATTTCATTTTAGTTTTGTTATATTTCAATTTCACAAAGAAACGTGCCGCAATAGCCTAATAAAACGACACCTTTTCATTTACTGAATAATGTCTTCACTCTCATTTTGTTAAAAAAAATCTTGAGAAAATCGAATCGTGAAATCAAAATCGTGAATTGAATCGAATCGTGAGTTGAGTGAATCGTTACATACCTACCTATAAGAATTAAACACAGGCTTAAAAAATGGTCGTGCCACTGTTACTTAGGATAGTATATCATGTCAACTACCCATCTGCAACTTTTCCATAAACTACCCAGATCTTTAAATCTTAGACTAACTCCACCCTTGAAGGCAATGTGGTAATTAATGTGTATGGCATGTCCAGGAGGAAGTTATTCCCTTCTCTTTTCATATCCCAATATGATGGTGGCAGTCATTGGTGGGCATTTTCTATTGAATATCATGTGTTTTGTGTTTTCCAGTGGAGAATGAGAATCACTGTGATTTTGTGAAGCGCTTCATAAAATTAAGGTTGAACCACTGATGTCACATGAACTATTTGAACAAGCCTTGAACGTGGTAGTTGCGTTGCTGTCTATGGAAGGTCAGAAAGCTCTCGGATTTCATCAAAAATATCTTAATTTGTGTTTCGAAGATGAATGAAGATCTAACGGGTTAGGAACGACATGAGGGTGAGTAATTCATGACAGAATTTTAATTTTAGGGTGAACTGACCCTTTAACAACGCCCTGGCAACCACCCAGAAAACCCCAGCACTGTGGCGCCTAGTTTTGCACAGACAAGCTCCACTCACGATTTCTTCAGCAAATGTAAAAAATCTATTTGTTTATACTGTTACAATAACAGCTGCAGGGAATGTTGGTAGTGTTAATAATACTAGATCACAGCTGGTCAGTTATACAAACTGACTGTTAAAAGAGGTCATGTCCTTGTATCAGTGGTCTGAAATGGAAGAAGGCTATCAATTTTTCATAAAATCAAGATGTTAAAATTAATGTATTTTAAGTGTCTATTTTTAAAAGCGTCTAATAGACACTTTAAAAAAGTGTCTATTTTAAGTTCTGTAAATGGTCACCATTTCTAATGAGCATTTCTTTTTGATCACATTCTTTTTTTACAGTCTTGCAAGATTTTTTCGTTTTAAATTCAGATATTCAATAAAGTTTCTCAATTACACAATGTCATAAAAACAGCTTGTATACACCTATAAGTAGGGATGTAACTATTAACCACGAGCCGGTCGAAAATCGATTCAAATATGTGATGTTTCAAAACGGTTCAGATGCCAAACAAATCGCGATACAATTGGAGTAGGAGTTTTTATGAATGTATCTCTGAGGGGAACTGAATATCTTTAGAAAAGTTTACATGGTATTTTCTTTTCATCTTGCCTCTGAACAATGCACATTAAAGTAGTGTTCATAAGGGCAGCTCTGCTTTGTAAAGTCAGACCATTCTGTTTTTGCTTCAAATTTCGAAATCATACAGTCTAATTTAGATTTAAAAACTACTCATGCTGCATGTATGCTGCATCTTTGTTTGGATCATGATTAAAATCCAGTGGTTGCCTCTATTTTTAAATGGAAAGAGCACAGACAAAGCATTAGTTTGTTCATATAAAGAGATTTCTTTTATTTGGGGTTTGTTTTAAAATTTCAATTTAGTTTTGTTATATTTCAATCTCACAAAGAAACGTGCAGCAATAGCCTAATAAAACGACACCTTTTCATTTACTGTATAATGTCTTCAATCTCATTTTGTTAAAAACAATTGTGAGAAAATCGAATCGTGAAATCAAAATCGTGAATTGAATCGAATCGTGAGTTGAGTGAATCGTTACATACCTACCTATAAGAATTAAACACAGGCTTAAAAAATGGTCGTGCCACTGTTACTTAGGATAGTATATCATGTCAACTACCCATCTGCAACTTTTCCATAAACTACCCAGATCTTTAAATCTTAGACTAACTCCACCCTTGAAGGCAATGTGGTAATTAATGTGTATGGCATGTCCAGGAGGAAGTTATTCCCTTCTCTTTTCATATCCCAATATGATGGTGGCAGTCATTGGTGGGCATTTTCTATTGAATATCATGTGTTTTGTGTTTTCCAGTGGAGAATGAGAATCACTGTGATTTTGTGAAGCTGAGAGAAATGCTGATCAGGGTCAACATGGAGGACCTGCGAGAGCAGACTCACACTCGCCACTATGAGCTATACCGCCGCTGCAAGCTGGAGGAGATGGGATTCAAAGACACCGACCCTGACAGCAAACCCTTCAGGTGAAGAGGGTCACAGTCACACCGAATGATCTGGAAAAAGTTCTCCACCACAACCTATGACAGAAACATTTATAGTCTGCATTTATAGAGATAAATGAATGGTAAAAGGGATAGTTCACTCATGTATGCACCCTCATGTCATTCCAAACCCATAAGGCTTTGGTTCATCTTCAGAACACATTAAGATATTTTTTTATGAAACCTGAGAGACCCTTCATTAAAAGTCCAAGTAACCAAAAGCGAAAAGATCCAAGAAGATTATAAAGGCATTGTGAAACCAATCCATACGAATTGAGGGGCTTAATCTCAGCAGTTTAATTAATTTTAAGTGAACTTTCCCTTTAAAAAGATCTTTTGTGTGTGGTTTGTTGTGTTCAGCCTCCAGGAAACATACGAGGCCAAGAGGAATGAGTTCATGGGTGAGCTGCAGAAGAAAGAGGAGGAGATGAGGCAGATGTTTGTCCAGAGAGTCAAAGAGAAGGAGGGAGAGCTGAAAGAGGCAGAAAAGGAGGTTTGTGTGTTTGTTTGTTTGTTTGAAGACCGTAATTATAGCAGTTTCAGTGTTTCCCCTAGGTTTATGGCTTTGGGGGGGGTGTTTTTTTTTTTCTTGAATCTGTCTAATTAATTAAAATCATGAAACTTAAACAGTTTAACATCAATTTATTAAAAGTTTAACAAAAATTACGTTTATGGCCCAAAAATTTTTTTTTTTTTCCAACCTTATGTTTTATTGTTACCAAATTCTGTGTTTTAGCATGTCTAATTATTTGAAAGCATAAAAACAAGTTTCATTTATTCTTACAATAGCCTTATGATTTTTTTCCCTCAGAAATTCTGTGTTGTGTATTTACATTTTTAAGGCATAAAACATTCCTTTAATTTATCTTTTAATTAATGAAAATTAAAAAAATTAATTTTGGGGAAAATAAAGGGGATTTAATATTACAATTAAAACATTGAAGAAAAATTGTATGATTGTTCCTTAAAAATAAGGTTTTAATAATTTTAGTAGTAGTAGCCTATTATGTACATTCTACTGAACAATAGTAGGCAAATTTATTTCTGCTGCAATGTCTTCAAGTTAAACCAAACTTTTAATTTGACGGGTTGCCGTGAATACCGTTACATTTCTGTGTGTATATGATATGAAGATAGTTTTACTCAAATGAAACGGTCAGATGATCATGAAGTGACTCTCAGCGAAGTTCTGGAGATGTTGTTCATGTATTTATGTCCTCATTAGTGAGACGGCAGACGTTAATATCACCGGAAGCGTCACGCGCGCTTCAGTACGAGTAGTAAACAAAACCTCACGTCTGCGCCATTCATTAACACAGAGACACACAGAATTAATATTTAAATAGTCGTTTTGCGGCTTGATATTTACAAATACTAGTGGGAGTGGGTGTGTGCTCACTTGTGTGTGCGCATCGGGGCGGGTGTGCGCGATACAGAGAGCGCGACCATGTAGCGGGCCGCCCCCATAATATAATGTCAGGGAAAACCATAGACTGTATAAAAACATGGACGTAGTGTCCGTGACGTCACCCGTAGTTTTCCGAAGAGCGTTTTTGAAGCTCACAGTGGGCGGAGCGTCGGCATCTTGGCAGCGCGTCACTCCCAGATAATCGAAAATGGGCAAAAAGGCGGGAGCTGGTTGCTGAAACCACGCCCACCTAGCTCGACGGTGGTGACCGCAGCGGCAATCCACCTGTCACTCAAGTGGCCGCGCCCTTAATTATGCAGAACTTTAAGGCTTAATAAAATTTAAATGGATGAGTTATAAAAAACTTCACCCCCCTCACAGTTGTCATGAAGGGCAAAATTAGCTATATAGACCAAAACCACTTTTTGTACCAGGCTGTAAACATATTTTTTTCTGCTGTAAAGTTGGGCATTTTAACATGGCATTTTAACATTTTAACAGTCTATGGGACTGACTCCCTTTTGGAGCCTCTAGTGGCCAGTCGATGAATTGCAGTTTTAGTCACTTCCGTGTTGGTTTCACGAGAGAGACCGGAAGGTTGCCGCTTGGGGGAAACACTGAGTTTTGTAACAAATGTAGCCAAAGTATTATCCACCGCTCATGCAGTACATGGGGTTCAGTAGCTGTATAGCTGGTCTGGTTTATACAATCAAATGCATCCAAACATTTAAAAAAAAAAGAGACAGTGTTTACTTCTATAAATTGGACTATTTTACAGTAGATGTAAAGCTTTGTTAGTTCAGTAACATACTGTCTCTGTGATGTTCACGTCACAGCTTCATGAAAAGTTTGACCGTCTCAAGAAGCTTCACCAGGATGAGAAGAAGAAACTAGAGGACAAGAAGAAGGCTCTCGATGATGAGCTGAACAGCTTCAAGCAGAAGAAGACTGCTGCTGAGCTGCTGCAGGCCCAGACCCAGCAGGCAGGGAGCTCCTCCACACTTAAGAAGGATAAAGAGAGGAAAAAGTAAGTATTGACCTCTACATGGTTCCTAACCCTCACAACCTTGCCTTCCCGAGATACCAGAAGATCACGATGCAGGAGAACATGTGTGAATATGTGTGTGTGTGTGTGTGTGTATGCATTTCACTGACCGCTCATGTAATATTGCAAGGAACGTTAAATTTAGATAATGACCAAAACTATGGAGTTTGGATGGAGGCAGATGACAGTGCACTGATATGAAAACTCTAGTTTGAGCATATACACTACTGTTCAAAAGTTTTATTTTTTTTGTAGAAATTATTTTTATTCAGCAAAGATGCATTAAATTAGATGTTAGCTTTAGATTAGGTTTGTTTTAAATAAATGCTGCGCTTTTTTTTTTTATCACTTTCTCCACAAAACATATTAAGCAGCACAATTGTTTTCAACACTGAAAATAATAATAAATGTTTCTTGAGAACCACATCTGCATATTATAATTATTTCTGAAGAATCTTAATACTGAATTATTAATACTGAGGACTGTAGTAATCGCTGCTGAAAATTCAGCTTTGCCATCACATAAATAAATTTCATTTTCAAATATATTAAAATAGAGAAGTCATTTTAAATTGTAATAATATTTCACAATAATACTGTTTTTACTATATTTTAATCAAATAATGCATCTTTGGTAAGCATAAGAGACTTCTTTCAACAACATCTTACCCACCCCCAAACTTTGGAACAGCGGTGAAGAGACTCATATTGTTGTGCATTTATAATGTAAAACATCCAGTTTATTTTTGTAGTATTGTTCAGCTGTATTTCAATTATGGTATGACAAGATAGAGCATATTTTAATTGTGATCTCTTTACTTTACCCAGTCTGGTGTGTGGTAGTCTTGTATGAAAATAACATGTTAGACAGTTCTATATAGTTATAATTCAATATGCTATATAATTCTAATTTTCATGGTATTAAAGGATTACATTATGAACAGTACAATATTGCATTGCAATCACGCAAATGGGTACTAGTAATCAGAGCTTAAATTGCTTCAGTAATGCTGGTTATCACCCATGGTTGTGTATTCAAGTTGATTTGCTGCATTCACCTGAGAATTATATGGAAAGAAGACACTTGCACTGACAAGGTTTACTTTTTGTTGTTTTTTCATATCAATATCTTCCGTTTTTAACAGTTTCCCCCCTTAAGCTTCTTGTATGTCCTCACAAGGCAGCACTTTTCACAGCAACGAGATACTGAGGAAACACCGTTAACAATTGGTGTCATGCAATTTAGGAGATGCTTTTTATTTTTGCAGTATATAATGTGCAAGATTGTCCAAATCCAATATTTGATATCAAGCTTACATCCTTTACATTAACAGCCCAGATTCTTACCACTTTCCCTTCTACTATCCTGTGGTTGTTATTTATTCCTGTGTGTACATATATATATATATCCAAACTTACAGCCTTTACATTAACAGTCCAGATTCGTACCACTTTCTCCTCCACGCTCCTGTGTGTGTTATTTATTCCTGTGTGTATATCAAAGATAGCCAGAGAAATGGTCCAGTTTTCCTCAGTGCTCTTGCAGGGCATGTAGATTATTAATTGTTTGATGTTGCATGTAAGGTGTCTTGTGTAGTTTGTGCACGTGTCATGTACGTCTCATCCATGCTGTTTTCCAGTTAACTCCTCACCTGCTCCCTCCTCACCTGAGACACCTTATGCTGGTAAGGCTTTCAAAGTACCTCTTAAGGCACAAGCCCTCATTCACACGAGGGAACTAAATTACAAAAACACATGTAATGATGGTGGTCAGTTAGACTGATCCTGTAATTGCTGTGTTAAAGCCCTGCAGTAGTTATAACAGTTTTTGTTATTCATGCTTAAAACTGCTGGTAATGTGAATAATGTCTCTGTGGCAGCAGCAGGGGATATTATGTCACCAGTGCCAGGCAAGAGTTTATTGCTCTCCCTGTGTGATGTGCAGCCATCTGCCATCTGAATCCATAGCAATCTGCTGTTGTTTGCACTCCACTGCTCTTCCACGATCTTACATAAAAGAGCCTTTAATGGCTCACTCCTACAGCTGGGTCACTCTAGTCCAACACTTGGCCTTGAAATAATGCTGTTGTTAAGTGGGCTATCCCTTGCTACAGACCTATTTGTAATAGGTAAATAACACAATTGTTAAAGTTTGGTTATCTGGTTCGTTTACATAACACAACAGAAGAGACCATGTAATGAATTTTATCTGGTACAAAGAGAGAACAATACTAAGCCTTACCACATACACCCCCTGCAACCGCTTTGAAATGTTTTAACAGATGCACGACTAACATTTTGGATCTTTTTTTAATTAATGTGTGAATACAACAGTGTGTAACCTGTCGGGAACAATAATATTCCTTCTCTCTCATTTCCAGTTCAGGATTCCTGTAGAAAGTGCTCCCCCTGCCCGCTGTGAATGAGCTCTTCCCTCCTCAGTGTTCCTGAGCCATGCTGTTCCCGTTCCCTCCCCCCTCTCTCCCATCCTGTTCCCCCAGTTTCACGCATAACACAGCTGAGGAGGGATATTAACTGTGAATGGAATCCTTCTTTAGATTGTTTAACTCCTTTTTTTTCTTTTTTCTTTTTTTTCTTTTTTTTTTCTTTACATGCGATTGTTTTTTTTCTTTGTTTTACTTGCTGTGTTATGATGTCATGATGATATTGCTTTGTTCTGCATGACTAGTGTTTGATTCAACTTTAACATGAGTGGCTACTGTTGTGGGTATGCAGTAGTTGAGTTCACAGGTTAAAATGGGACAAATTATATTAGCAGTACCATAAAGGTCATTAGTGTTATAATAGGAAGATGTATGAGCTGCTTTCAGTTCGGCCATGCAGTGAGATTTAAAGGCACAATATGTAATATGTTTTTATTAAACCACTAGAACAGTGTTATATATTTTGCTGACTTGTGTAAATAAATCATTAGCTCATCCATAAACATGATTTCTGCCCGAGTCCCGTCGGATTGCATCGGCTGTGGGAATGAAGACGGCAACTCCCATGATTCCACACTCAGTCACTGCGTCATGAAACTACGCCTTTGTCTCGTTGTTTATTTTGAATACGCGCCCTCTAGCGGCGAAAATTACATATTGTGCCTTTAAGGCATTTTTACCCTAGTTTCTAACAGAATAGTTAGAATTTAGGAACATTAGTAATGATGTTTTGTCTCATTTTAGCTCATGCATGTTATACAGATATGCTCTCTGGTCATCTGCAGCCATACCTCAATGTTTTTTATTAAAAAATGTTTTATATATATATATATATATATAAACCTGTCATTGCTATCCTTGTATTAGTTTAGAAAAACTTTGGCACATCTCATCCAAATATAAGCACCTTTTTATAGCTCTTTATTTTTGTGACATTTTATTTTTCACTAAATTAATAAAAAAATAACTTTTTAATAAATAAATATCAATTGCAAAGGGACTAATATTTGCATCAGTAATAAAGGGCATTCTTTCATAAACCTTTAAACTGTGCGAAAGTCATTGTGTATGAATTTCAGACAATTCTACATTTTATTATTTGCACGATTCATAAAAGTGTCACTAAATGTTTATGCACATTGGGGGTGACATGGCCAGTGTCTGATTTGCTTACTCTATTGAAAAATCTTGATTCCTCAATTTATGCTTTGATTATTTGCTTTAGGGAGAAGCTGGACTTTCACCTTTGAAGCAATTTACTGCATCTTTATGCTTAACTGAGCATATGTAATAAGACTAATCATACATCAGAATTTATTGTCTAAAGGTTTGGCCTATATTCTCAAGTGAAGTGTTTGACCACCGCTACAAGTCAAATTAACTGAATGTCATTATAAGATCCTTATATGACCAAATAGTGAGGAAATTTCGTCTAGGCGAGTCGCTGCAGGAAATGACAGTTTTATTTTGAGTTTAAGTTGTAAATTATATTTTCAAAGCTAGTATTAAAGATACCAGACTATTCAGCAAAATCAGTGATTCTGTTGGTTCTGTGCTGGATGACAGTGTTTTGTATCGTATCTGGATGCTGGTCTTTCAACAGGTGGCATTGATGTGATTGATATTTATCACCTATTGACACTTTTGCTCCCTCCAGTGTCCCTGCTCACTGCCGTGTGTGTATTTACTTTCCTTTGCAGTAATCCCTGGCTCTGCACTGAGTAGTATGGCTTTGATAAGGGACCAGGCCCAGACTCTTTGCTTAACTGGTAGCCCAGAGGGAGGCAGTGTGGACCAAGCCCTCTTAAGTTTCTCTTAAATCACCTCTTGTATTTTGATTTTGGGCTCTTTCTGCAGCTTTTACTAACACTGTAATTATTGCGTTACCAAAACCTTTGCTTAAGGCTGTGCTTATTCACTGTGTATCTTTTGTGATGCTTTGTGTGACTAATATGCTTAAAGGGAATAGTTCACCCAAAAATTTAAATCTGCTGAAACTTTAGTCACCCTCTGGCCATCCAAGATGTAGATTAGTTTGTTTCTTCATCAGAAGAGATTTGGATAAGTTAGCATTACATCACTTGCTAACCAATGGATCCTCTGCAGTGAATGGGTGCCGTCAGAATGAAAGTTCAAACGGCTGATAAAAGCATCACAATAATCCACAAGTAAAACACACAACGTTCATCAAAGTTTTCACCCATTCACTTCAGAGGATCCATTGGTGAGCAAGTAATGTAAAGCTAAATTTCTCGGAATCTGTTCCGATGATGAAACAAACTAATCTACCTAAAAATATTCAGCAAATTTTTGGGGGGTGAACTATTCCTTTAAAATGTGTGCCTCTTCAGAGAGGTGGGGAGGGAAAATGCAATCATTATAATCACTGTCCCAGTTCAACTGTTTAAGATTGGGTTACCTTTAACCACGGTTTTATTAAATCGAGAATGCAAGATGAATGAATCCATGCATGTTTAAATGCAAATTGTGAAGAGGGGATGCACAATGCATTTGAAGCAGGCCAGAAGGACGGTGTGTTCCGTTCCGCCCACATTCTGAATGCTTCATGCTTTTGGCTGGCAAAAGAAAAATCCGAGTGGCCATTTCCAATTGACTGTTGTAAACTTGTCTTCCCACTGGTGCTGATGAGTTCAGTGGCCTCCTGATACTTTCTCTAATCTGCGTTTGTCTCCTCTCTTCTTCTAGCTTCTTTTAAACTCTGTCTTGGCCACCTGTTGGAAGAGGGGATTGCAGCTTCCACGAGAACTAAGTGTCCACTCTTCTTCCTGTCTTTTTCACTCCGTCAGCCTTGTTTGAATATTTTAATTTTGTTTTTTTTGTTTGTTTTTTTACTTTCATGCTGTGTGCCCTGTTGATGGCCTTATGTGGGCTTAACATGGTATTTTTACAGCAAATATTAACTGTGTTTCTTAATTAGGGCATGCTAAGCAGTCCCTCATTAGTATTTTACAGACATCGTTTGCTGGTGACACCAGAGCCAAAGCTCTGGTAGAAAGGCTGTGAACTAAAGGAATGCTTTGGAGTTTTTAGTTCAGATTTTTTTGTCTATGATATTGCCTTGCAGTTTCAATCTGTTCAATTAAACAATCATTTTGTTTCTTTCATGAGTACATGTGTTTGTGAATGAACCTGCATGTCCTCATCAACATTAACACAGTGATAACTGTGAGGAGCGAACGGATACTAATTTATTTGCAAACACTATAATTTAGGTTGTGAATTAAGCTGAGTAAGATTATTTTTAAGACTTGAAAACATTTTGACATGCTGGCTGTGAATGTTGAGAAAATCCAAAGAAAATGAGCCCGAAAGTTCCTGGTTGTTAATGCAGCAAAATGTTAAGCGAGAGACATTTAATTGTAATTTAATGAGAATCTTTATTTGAAAGCATGAGCTAAATAAGCAAAATCTGAGAGGTTTGTATTGTATGTTTTGTAATTCCCTATACATTTCAAGTCTTAAATAGTCACAGCAATATAGTTATAATTTATTTAAAATATAATCTTAAAGCATAATGAAGCACCTATTGAAATACCATGTAGGTCACATTCAGTGCCACTTTTTATATTCATTATCTTCTGTTCTTTTGCATGCCCTGAACATATTTTTGTTAATGGAGTTATTCTTTGCGAAGACATATTTACTCTTCAAATGCTTTATACTTTGGACTATTTTATTACATGTATTTATTCCAGGTACAATGTGCAGTTACATTCAGTTTATAAATGTCATTTCCCATTTTGGCAAATACTGCATTTCGATATAATGTCAAGGGTTTTCAGTCATTTAATTTCAAATAATCATGCATATGTGCAGTACATATAATTTGTAAGGACCAATTTTGCGTATCAATGTCCAGACATGTTTTAATGATTAATAACATTATTGACAAGTGTGTTTTCTGTGTGAAACATTTGGGTGTCAAGACTGGCCTAAATTTTTCTAGTCATCTCCCATGTTTTCCCCTTAATTTCAATAACCCCCACCCCTGTAATACAAGAAATTTGTGAAATATTTAACTGTAGTAAGATTCCATGGTGATAAATTTTATATATATGAAGAGTTAATTTGCAAAAACAGATAACTCAAAAATCATTTTTTTAATATATATATATCCTGCATTTATATTAATATCAATCAAACTGCAGTTGGGTTGTTTTGATTAAATAATAATAACCAAAAACAATACAGCCAACTAACACAATAAAACACAATTAAAACATGATAACACAATAGAAACATGATTTATGAAAATTAATAAAATAAAAAGAGTTATCTGTTTTTACAAATAAACTCTTCATATATATATATATATATATATATATATATATATATATATAAAATTTATATTAAATATTTAGATATTTAAAATATGCATAAACTGATATCCTAAATACAGTTAGGAATTATATGAAGAAAATGTACTGTAGGCTGTCAAATAATTTCGCAATACTGACAAGATAAAAGGAAAATTAAGGATTTAAATGCTGCACGATTGTTAGGTACTACATAGGCTGTGGCTCAAAACCTAGTCAGCTGCCTACTAAGACAGCATTTTGGCAATCATAGTCGCGCTCAACCACTCCACCACAGCTCTCTAGCACTAGGTTGTGAATCACAGCCAAAGCGTGTCCTGCGTTTCCATCTCTGACCACTAGGAGGCGCTGTCACTCTCAGGAATCAACAGCTATCAGCGCTCCGTCTCAGGACTGTACTGTGTGTCCTTCGTCCGCGCACAGAAAATAATATTTAGATAGTTTTTGTTTATTGTACTCGATAAATATGTCTACTACGACCGGTGGCGGAGAGTTTGGCAACCCTCTGCGGAAATTTAAGCTGGTTTTCTTGGGCGAGCAAAGCGGTAAGTGTTCAGATACGTGAGACGTGGACAGAGAAACAGGCCAGGTGAAGGTATGCTACAGAATGATAGATGTTACCAAATACACATGCAAATAATTCTCTGACAGTTTGAGCGGATACGATTGGGGACAAGCACTTAAAATGCAGCAACATTTACAGTAAACTGTTGTCATGAACAATACACGAACAGACATCATGTGGCATTTAACGTAACATCCTGCAGTATCCGAACTATATAAAAAGATACGAGATACGATTATCAACTCAATTCTGCTTTAATCGACAAAGTATGTTATTGTTATGTCTTCCTCCTCTGTGTTTATGTATTCTTGCATGTAGAAATCAACGGCAGCCATCAAGTCCTTGTATTAGCATGTTTGTGTTGTCTGTTAGCCACAAAAGAGATCTCCCATTTTAAAGGCCTTTTATGTGTGATCACATCGATCATTCGTTTTTAACACATGAAATGCAAACAACATTGCGCTACAATCGTGAATGAACATGTTCAGTGTATAAAACAATACTGTCTGTTGTGAAGATGGTTGCTAGCGGATAGCAGTTAGCATGATTCTAGTTAGCCAGCTGTGACAATCAAGATCATGAGATCATAAACCACATCAGGGATGTTTAACTGCCACATCATCCACGTCACATCCACCTTTAATTTTCATAATGGCTGGATCGGACGTAAAAAAAAAAAAAAACGATCAGCGACCTGTCGTAAACGAGAGTTACAGCATTTCTTAGCCTGTATTGAAATGGTACGTTGCTGTGAAAGCAGGACGGCGACACCCATGTTGCCAACACAGCGATCAGAGTTCAGACTCATCCTGCAGACCAGTGCATCCCTTCCCTTTGTGACAGCATCTTTGACAATATGCTTTCTATGCGAACACCAAACATGCTGTCTATGTAGGAAGCACACTAGGTTTTGAGACGTATTTACTGTGAGGCCCTTATTTCTAATGCTTTATGTTTTTTCTCTTTTTCCACAGTGGGCAAAACTTCACTTATCACCAGGTTTATGTATGACAGCTTCGATAATACCTATCAGGTAACACCTGCTTTGACTGTCAGAGCCCATATTGCGTTCACAGATGCTTACCGTGTTACTGTGCATCTTAATATCTGCCCAAAGTATTGCTGAGATTGTCAAATCTGTAACGCAAAGGTTTGGTTCAGTGTTGGTCTCTAAAGGAATAGTTCACTCGCTAATAAAAATTGTGTTGTATTTTACTCATCATCTTGTTGATCCAAACATTTCTTCCATGGAACACAAAATAAGATACTTTATAGAAAAAATAGTCACACTGTTAAAATGTTGCTTCCATACAACAAAAGTATAAGATAACCAACATCTATTAAAGGAATAGTTCACCCAAAAATGAAAATTCTGTCATTAATTACTCACCCTCATGTCGTTTCAAACCGTAATTGTTCATCTTCGGAACACAAATTAAGATATATACTATGATGAAATCTGAGAGCTTTCAGACCAGTGTTGCCAATTCCGTGGTTTTCCCGCGGAATTGGGCTACTTTAACACTGTTGCCACAGGTTGTTTTTCATGTCCGTGGATTGAAGCAAATTTTAGCAGGGAAGCCCGCCAAAAAAACGTGTATTTTACCCCCCGGAATGCGATTTTTACCTGGGGACCCCGCTCGAAACGCGATTGGGCTAGTTTTGAGTAGTGATTGGGCGGGTTTTCATGTGAAAACCTGGCAACCCCGTTTCAACCCTCCATAGACAGCAAGGGTCCTACCACGTTCAAGGCCCAGAAAGGTACCAAGAACATTGACAAAATAGTGCATGTGACATCAGTGGTTCAACCGTAATTTTATGATAATACTTTTTGTGCGCAAAAACAACAAAAATAACTTTATTCAACAATTATTCTCCCTGGAGTTACCATCTACCGCCATTATCGAGAGTGACACGACGCATGCGTGTGCTTTCCTCTGCTCGTAAACAAGGCACAGCGCATGCGTGCTCTACGTCAGCAGCATCATGTGCATGCGTCGTGTTACTCTCAATAATGGCGCTAGATGGTAACTCGGGGTAGAAGAATTGTTAAAGGGGTGGTTGATTGCGATTTCACTATTTTAACGTTAGTGTGTAATGTTGCTGTTGGAGCATAAACAATATCTGCAAAGTTGCAGCGCTGAAAGTTCAATGCAAACGGCGATATCGTCTTTTAAAATTCTGGCAGTTTAATGCCTACAAAAACGACTGGTAGGGACTACAACGAGCTTATTCCCAGGTCCGTTACGTCACGAACCCAGATAAACCCCGCCTCCGGGAACACGCAGCAAAGGGGGCGAGGCCATGCTCGGGGTACTAGGGGTGCACGTAAAAATCTGTTCATATATGAATCGCGATTCTGTCTTCTAACGATTCTAATGGATTCACAAGTTTCAAAATCAATGTTCAAAAGCAGCAGGTTCTCAATCCTGTTCCTCGCATCGCCCTGCTCTGCACACGCTCTGCATCTCTCTCTCTCTCTCTCTCTCCATGAACACATGTTAGACTGCACCCCATAAACACAATCAAGCCTAGAAAAAACCCAGTCAACCACCCCTTTAAATAAAGTCGTTATTTTTGTTTTCTTTGCACACCAAAAGTGTTCTCGAAGCTTTGTAAAATTACAGTTGAACCACTGATGTCACATGGACCATTTTAATGATGTTCTTACTACGTTTCTGTGCCTTGACCGTGTTAGGACCCTTGCTGTCTATGCAGGGTCAGAAAGCTCTCGGATTTCATCAAAAATATCTTAATTTGTGTTCCGAAGAAGAACGAAGATCTTACAGGTTTGGAACGACATGAGGGTGAGTAATGACAGAAGTTTCATTTTTTGGTGAACTATCCCTTTAAGCTCTCTAGTTACCATCCAGAATTACTTTTTGGCAGACTAGCAATGTCTGTTGAAATGAAAATATTAATCAGCCATAAGTTATATTTTTCTTACTGGCCATGAAACTTTACATTAAAATTTACATTATTACGTATTTCCTACATATTTTATCATGACAATGGCAATGTGAAGCTGTTTGTGGCATGGGTCTCAGGGCATAGTTTCACTTGCAATATCATATATGAGGTACTCTGTCTAGATGTGAATCTGTACATTTCATGCAAACATAATTGTGTTTATTCTTTAGGCTTTCTAGGTAAACATACACTACCATTCAAGAGTTTGGGGTCAGAAAGATTGTTTAATATTTTTAAAAGGTCTCTTATGCTCATAAAGACTGCATTTTTTAATAAATGTACAATAATAAAACAGTAATATTGTGAAATATTATTTCTGTAATGCAAAACTGAATTTTCAGTAGGGCTGAACGATTAATTGCATTTGCGATAATATCGCGATATGAAAAAAACGCGATTTTTCAATCGCAGAGGCTGTGATTACACTCGGTCTATGCCTTAGCGGACAGCATGAAACCCACAAAAAATAAATAAATAACAGAGAGAGAATAATAATAATAATAACAGTTATTCTCTCTATGCTATTTTTCAATGTTTCAAGTGATGCAGGTGTTTTTTTTCCCTGTTGTTTTTTTTAAATTAAAAAAGCATAAATTTTTCATAATGTTTAATGAAATTACTTGGTAGTCTGAGGTGGAATGGGGATTCGGGAAAGGGAGCAGATTTTTTTTATAGGTTTAAAGGGGGGTGCGACCACAAAAATTTGAGGACCACTGGTCTAAAGTTAAAGACAGTGTTTAGTGCAGTCCACATGTTTACATATGTTTATTACAGTGACTTTGAATTACCTAAAGTAGTGTGGTAAAGCAACAGATTTGTTTTTATATTTCTGCAATCTACTTTAGTTTGTGTGATTTGTTACTGACTTTCATATTAATGTTTACACCAGGCTATTAAACATAATTATTACATGCTTACAAGGTTGGAAGTTCAACAAATCAGTCAATATACTGTAATTGTAGTTGTTAAATAAAAATGTAATTCATATCAATTCATGCATCACCTAATTTCATCGTAACATATAGGCCTGGCCTACAGAAAAGAACATTTATATTTAATCTATCTATAATAGTGTTTTGGTCATACTATACAATGATTTATAGCTTGTCTTTGTTGAATAATACAGAACATAAAGAGCTTTAAAAAATAATTGCATATTAAATCGCAATCGCAATATTGGTAA